GAACCCTCGGTGAAAGGGGCCCCTTGTCAACTTCCCCTGCCTTTGAAGTGACGGGGATGGAGGTGCTCAATTAAAAGCCCATCAGTCTGTAAGTAAATCAACGCCTATCAGGCTTGTCACATCAAACAAACGATTATTACCCCAGCCCGCCCACCCCATTAATCTGGCTGTTCCTTCTTGACGGCTCAGGGTCAGGGCCCCGTAAATCCTGTACTGGATTGCCGCCACCTGGATCGGGATGAAAGCGCCGGCGCGGCCGTGCGGCGCGCTCAGGCGTTTCCCGCGGCCCCGGGAGCGCGCGCGAGGCTGGGCGGCCGGGGCACGAGGTCTGTGGGGCCGGACGGACGCACAGAGGTAGACCCAGCGAGTGACCGAAGGAGCCACGGTGCCCAGAAGTTGGGGAGAGAGAGCCTGAGACGACAGACCAAGACAGAAGGCACTGGAAGAAGAGGCCCGAAGTTGGTTGAGACAGGTGCCGTAAAAACTCACCCAGAATGTTAAGAACGAATAGACGCCTCGAGAACACCAGGAGGTGTTCTGGATGGCATTTCTCGGACACTGGGTTCTGAGTCTCAGAGAGTGAGCTGTTTCCCCAGCTCTCCTCCCATGCCGCCTGGCAGCCCCCAAATGTCACTTAGCCAAGGGAATGGTGGTAGGGAGGGCGCAGAAGCTCAGGGCGTTGCTAAGCGATGCCCTGGATCAGATCTCAAAATAAGGGTTGGTCAGAACTTGGTCTTCTGCAATAAAAGGACATGAACGAACAAACTGGACCAGGGTGTCAGGTTCTGATCACTGTCCTGAGCGAGTCGCTAAGAAACACTTTGTTCCAGCGATTTTCTTCTAGGCTCTGTGGGTTGTTTTGTGGATTCTTTCTGCTCTGAGATCAAACTCTGGCTTTCCCCTCACTGCAGACCATTAAGAAAGGTGGGGTTGGGAGAAGAGGAGACGACACAGCTGTATTTTGGGCTGGAAGGAGGTGCTGGGTAGGAGGTGAAGGGCAGGGGAGGAGTCAGGAAGAAGGTCGAGCTTCCAGCCCAGGAGAACAAGGCCTGCTTTTTAAGGGAAGGAAAGAACAGTCTTTCCTCAAATGGCTGTTCCGGAGCTGCCCCAAGGCAGAGCTCACTCTGAGTGGTGATGTTTCATATTTAAAAGGGCCATCACAGGCTTTCCCAGTTGATAGAATAATACACCAAAGAAATCAAGAGATGGAAGTGGAGCAGGAAAGACTGAAGAAGAGAACTTATTCCTCTGACCCTATCATGGAGCTTGATGCCCAGTCTAGATGACTTCTCACTAGACAAAATTTTGAAGAATGAAACAGGACCTCAGTGGACACCATAAGAAAAAATCAACTAGATGGATTAAAGACTTGAATGTAAGACCTGAAACCTTAAAACCCCTAGAAGAAAACATAGGGAGTAAGCTCCATGACCTAGATTTTATTTGGATTTGACACCAAAAGCAAAGGCAGTAAAAACCAAAGTAAGCAAATGGGACTACATCAAACTAAAAAGCTTCTGCACAGCAAAGGGAAACCACCAGTGAAATGAAAGGGCACCCTACTGAATGGGAGAAAATATTTGCAAATCATATATCTGATAAGAGGTTAATATCCAAAATATATAAAGAGTTCAGACAGCTCTATCACACACACCAAAAAAACTCAAAAACAAACCCACACAACAAACCAAACCAAACCAACAACAACAATAAAAAAACCCAAACTATCCAGTTAAAAAATTGGCAGAGGAACTGAATAGGTATTTTTCCAAAGAAGACAAACAAATGGCCAACGGGTACATGAAAAGATGCTCTACATCACTAATCATCAGGGAAATGCAAATCAAAACCACAATGAGAGATATATGACTACACTCTTGTTAGAATGGCCATCATCAAAAAGACAAGAGGTAAAAAGCATGGGGGGGATATAGAGAAAAGGGAAGCCTTGTGCACTGTTGGTGGAAATGTAAATTGGTGCAGCAAGTGTGGAAAACACTATGGAGGTGCCTCAAAAATTAAAAATAGAACTGCCAGATGATCCAGCAGTGCCACTTTTGGGTATGTATCCAATGGAAATAAAAACAGGATCTCCAAGAAATATCTGCACTCTCCTGTTTATTGCAGCATTATTCAACAGTAGCCAAGATGTGGAAACAACTTAAGTGACCATCAGTGGATGAATGGATAAAAACGTGGTGTATATATATATGTACAATGAAATATGATTTAGCCATGAGAAAGAAAGAAATCTTGCCATTTGGAATGACATGGATGGACCTTGAGAGCATTACGCTAAGCAAAAAAAATGACAGAGAAGACAAATGATATATGCTATCATGTATATCTGGAATCTAAAAAAAGCTGAATTCATAAAAACAGAGACTAGAATGGTGGTTACAGGGACTGGCAGAGTCAGGGAATTGGGGAGATATCAGTCAAAGAGTATAAACTTCTGGTTATAAGATGAATAAGTTCTAAGGATCTAATTTATAGCATATTAAAATGCTGTTAGTTAACTATTGTTAATACAATTAGTTAAAATACTGTATTGTATATTTGAAGTTTGCAAAGAGTGGATCTTAAATGTTCTCACCACAAAAGAAATGGTAATGATGTGACAAGATGGAGCTGTCAGCTCACACTATGGTGGTATATGTTGCATTTTGTAATAGATAAGTCCATCACCTTAAACTGAAACAATGTAGTATGTTAATTATATCTCAACCAAGCTGGAAAACAAAAAATTCTCAAAGACATTCAAGACATGTACATTCATCGTCATCCTGTCCAGGACTGCATGATAAGAACTGCTTGCTGCAATTCCTGCAGGCCACCACCGCCACTGCCACGTGGTTGGGCCAGTGTGTACAGTTTTCTCTCAAGCCTGGTGCCCATCACTCCATTGTAAACTCATTCATTCTATCATCAAGACCCAGCAGTGCAGCAGCGTATTCCTTATTCCTCTGAGTTGATAGACATGTTGACAACCCATCCAGAGTGTCAGTGAGACCTTTCACAGAGATGAGGAATGGTTTACAGCTACTTTACAATGTGGGAGAATTATTTATCCTTCATATTTTCATTCATTCAACCAACATTTACAGGTATTTAGTATTTACAACTTAGAGGTTCTTCTCGAAGCCCTGGGAGTTTGGCAGTGAATATGATGGGCAAGGTCAAGAGATATGTGGAAGCTTTTACAAAGTACTGGGGTGTTTGACCTAATTTTTATTTATTTGTCATGCTTACACTCATTACAGGGATATTTGCTAAGCACCTACTATGTCTAAGTAATGTGTACCACAAGGAGGCAAGGAAGAATCAAAAACAAATCCCATCCTCCTGGAGGAGAGGTAAGACACACATCATGAATAAATCGGATGCATCGTTTAAAGTGGTAGGGGCCATAAGCCGGGAAAGGACAGGAGGCAGTTCAGAGAGAAAAGGTAATTTATCCGGGTTACTTCTTTCTTAGTGAGGGTCTGAAATTAAGAAACATGGTAACTGTTCAGTCATGGCAACTTCTAAATCTATTCTGTAATGTAGTACTGTGTGGGCTTAATGTTTATTGTTATTGTTATTGGCGGTAATGACACTGTAATTCATTGTCGTTGTAATTATGGACACATCACAACACCTCTCTCTCTGAGGCAGGTGTTATAAAACTCTGGAACTCGATTTCAGGCCTTGTCAGGAGTCGGGTATGGTTGAGAACTTTCAGAAATCGGGGACGTGCCTCTTACAAGAGGCAGAGCAGTGCAGAGAAGTGAAACGAATAGGCTCTGAAACCAGACGGCAATTCAAACCAGCCTTCAAATGCTGGCTCTCTGGCTTGCCTGCTGTGAGGCCATGGGCAAATCACTTGAACTCCCTGTGTGTGTTTCCCCATCTGTTAAATTGGGGTGATAACAGCGCTGGCTTCATAGGGTTATGTGACAATGAGATGCATGTACAGCATTCACAACAGTGCCCAATAGACAGCGCATACTCAAGAATGCCTGCCATTCTTACTGCTCTACCTCATACAGAGTGAGCTCTTGAAGGTACAACCAGCACCATGCTAGGAAGACACTCATTATATTAATGCATTGTCTTCCTGTATTTAAATATCACTGAAAGTCATTTATATTAATTTTACTTTAAAAATTCTTCCTGAGTTCAGCACATGGGTTTAAACTATTTGAATAATTTGTTTTTACTAAAAGAGTTTTTATTAAATTTAATGTAATATTTGATATATACAAAAGAGTATTTGTATGCATCATGAATGTAAACTTGAAGTGTCTGTATACTTCTTTCCTATCCCATTCCATGGCCTCTCCTTCAGAAGTGGCCAGTCTCCTGAATTTTGTGTTTATTATCCCTTTACTTTTTAAAAAACTAAAAAAAATTAAAGTATAACATAAATAAGAGTAAAATGCACAAATCTTAAGTTCATAGCTTGACTGATTTTTACAAAGCATACGCTTATGTAATCATACCTAGATCAAGATATGGCATATGATTAGTATTCTAGAAGCTTCCCTCATATCCCTTCCCAGTCAGTTCTTTATCCAGTCTCACTGCAAAGTAACCACTGTTTTGACTTACATCACCATAGACAGGTTTTTGGATTATTAAGTATGTATTCTCATGTCTGCCTTCTTTCAGTTAGCATTATCTTTACAAGATTCATCCATGTTGTCATATGTGTTAGTAGTTCATTTCTTTTCCATGGTTGAGTGGTATTCCATTGCATGAATAAACCATACAATTTACTCACTTATTCTACTGTGTGTGTGTGTGTTTTGGCTGGGTACAGTATACTTTATTGATGGTACATGACAAGATAGGGCTCCCCAAACCCTTCCCCTACTTCAGGGGGTCTGGGATGGAAACTGCGTAGAGGTCAGGAGATTCTCAGTGTGTTGGGGGATGAGTTGGGGCAAGGACTCCCCAGCTGCTGAGGGTCTCTCTCTTCCTCTTGCTCTCACTGGGGCTGGTGGTCCAGGGGGCTCTTACTCCTTGGAGGCCACGTAGACCGTAAAGTCTGCTGCCGAGTTGCTGTAGCCAAATTCATCGTCATACCAGGAAGTGAGCTTGACAAAGTGGTCATTGAGAGCAATGCCAGCCCCAGCATCAAAGGTGGAAGAGTGGGTGTCATTGTTAGTTGCAGGAAACAACCTAGTCCTCAGTGTGGCCCAGGATGCCTGCTTCCCTACCTTCTTGATGTCATCATATTTGGCAACTCTCTGCAGGGAGCAGGTCAGATCCATAACTGACACTTTGGGGGCAGGGACACAGAAGGTCATGCCGGTGAGCTTCCCATTCAGCTTGGGGTGAACTTGCCTACAGCCTTGGTGGTACCAGTAGAAGCAGGGATGATGTTCTGGGCAGCCCCTTGGCCATCACGCCACAGCTTCCCAGAGGGACTACTTCTTCTGGGTGGCAGTGATGGCATGGACTGTGGTCATGAGTCCCTCCACGATGCCAAAGTTGTCATGGATGACCTTGGCCAGAGGGCCAAGCAGTTGGTGGTGTAGGAGGCATTGCTGATAATCTTGAGGGAGTTGTCATATTTCTCATGGTTCATGCCCATCACAAACATGAGGGCATCAGCAGAAGGGCAGAGATGATGACCTCTTGATCCTACTTTCAAGTGAGCCCCAGCCTTCTCCATGGTGGTGAAGACCCCAGTGGACTCCACAACATACTCAGCACCAGCATCACCCCCATTTGGTGTTGGTGGGGTCTTGCTCCTGGAAGATGGAGATGGACTTTCCATGGATGACAAATTTCCTGTTTTCAGCCTTGACTGTGCTACTGAATTTGCCATGGGTGGAATCATACCAACACAGGTAAATCATGTAGTTGAGGTCAATGAAGGGGTCATTAATGGTGACAATATCCTCTTTGCCAGAATTAAGAGCACTAGTGACCAGCCACCTAATATGGCCAAATCTGTTTACTTGGACCTTCACCATTGTGTTTTGGGGAATGTGGCTGGCATTGCACCGGAAGTGGCTGTCTGCCAAATGTGGAGGAGCAGAGAGCCCATTCATTCTACTGTTAATGGACATTTGTGTTGGGTATAATAGGAGTGTAGTTGTTGTGTCTTAGGGTATGTACATGTTATAATAAATGCTTCCAAAGAATTTTCCAAAGTGGTTGTACCAGTTCACATATCCACCAGCAGTATGTGAGAATTCTAGTTCCTCCATATCCTTGACAACACTTGGTATTGTTAGTTAAAATTTTTTAGGCATTCTGGTGGGTACAGTGGGTTGTTTCTCATTATATCTATTTTAGTTGCATCCAATAATTTTTGATGTTATTTTTATTGCCATTCAGTTAAGGGTATTTTCTAATCTCCATATGTATTGCAAATATCTACTCCCATCCTGTGATCTGCCTTTTCTCTTTATTAATGGTATTTTGTTGTTGTTGGCTAGAAGCTTGATATTTTAATGTAGGCTTTTTTTTTTTTTACATTGACTTATGGGTTAATTAGAAAAGTGTATTCCTTAATTTCTAAACATCTAGGGATTTTTAGTTATCTCTCTATTTTGGATCTCTTGCACAATTTCACTGTTATCAGAGAATATACTCTGAATGATGTCAATCCTTCAAAATATGCTCAAAGACCTATGTTGAAATCTCCAACTATACTTATAGATCCATATTTTTCTCCCTTAGTTCCTTCAGTTTTTGCTTTATATATTTTGAAGCTATGTTATTATGTGTGCACAAATTTAATATTGCTATATTTTTCTGTTGAACCAACCACTTTATCATTAGGGAATGTAATGTAATGAAACTGCTTGCCTTAAAAGTTTACTTTTTCTGATACTTGTCTAGATACACCATTTTTCTTTTTAATAATCTCTGCTTGGCGTATCTTTTTCCATCCATCCTTTTAGTTTCAACATTTTTCACTTATCTGTTGCTGTATAACAAAGCACCCCAAAACAGTGGCATTAACCAACAACTCAGAGGTTTTATGGGTCAGGAATTTGGACAGAGCTTAGCAGAGATGGCTTCTCTCTGTTTTACAATGTCTGGAATTGTGATTGGAAAGACTTAAATGGTTGGGGGCTAGAATCATCTGGAGATTTTTTTCACACACACATCTTGTACTTGGACCAGGCTAACTCAAGACTGAGCTCAGCTAGGACTGTTGCTAGAGTGCCTGCCCATGTCCTTTCTATGTAGCTTGGGCTTTCTTATAGCATGTAAGGATCAGGGTGGTCAGACTCTTACAAAGGGCTCAGAGCTCCAAGAGTGAGTGATTCATCAAACAAGGCGTAAGTTGCATAGCCTTTATGACCTAGCCTTGAAAACCACAGTGTTACTTCTGCCATACACTATTGGCTGAAGGAGCCATAAACCTGTCCAAATTGGGGAGGGGAATTAAACCCCCACCTTTAATGGGGAGAATCAAAGGATTTGTGGCTATGTTTTAAGGCTGCCACATAGCTTTTCTTTCTGTATTCTTATGTTTCAGATGTATTGCTGCACAGGAATACCTCATTTCATTACTCTTTGCTTTATTGCACTTTGCAGATATTGCATTTTTTACAGAATTGAAGGTTTGTGACAACTCTGTGATGAGCAAGCCTATTAGTGACATTTTTTTTCCAAAAGCATTTGTTCACTTTGTGTTTTATGTCACATTTTGGTAATTCTCACAATCTTTTAAATTTTATCATTATCATTATATTTGTTACAGTGATCTGTGACCCCTGAAAGCTCAGATGATGGTTAGCATTTTTTGCAATAAAGTATTTTTTTAAATTAAAGTATGTACATTTTTTAGACAATGCTATTACATATTTAATAGACTACAGTATAGTGTAGACATAACTTATGTGTACTGGGAAACCCAAAAACTCATTTGACTTGTTTTATTGCAATATTTGCTTTGTTGTGGTGGTCTGGAACAAAACCCTCAATATCTCTGAGGCATGCCTATAACATACAGTTGGATTTTATTTATTTTTATCCAGTCTCACAATCCTTGTCTTTTAAATGGGGAATTTGGTCCATTTATATTTAAAGTAACTACTGATAAGTAAGGTTTAAACCTGTCATCTTACTATTTACTTTGTATTTGTTCCATGTGTTTGTTAATTTTGTTCTCCCTTCTTTCCTTTGGATTAATCAGGCATTTAAAAAATCAATATATTTACCTACTCTATTAGATTGTTATTTGTACATTCTTTTATTATTCATTAGTGATTACCCCAGAGATTGCAGCATGTATCATTGTTTTGTTATAACCTATCTTAAATGAGTACTTCTATCACAGCATAGACAATGCAATAACCTTATAACACTTTAACTCCATTTACTCTCCTCTTGTCTTTTGTGTTATTGTTAACATATATTTAATTTCCTATATACTTTAAACTCCACAGAATATTAGTATTACTGTTTTATACAGTAAATATTAACTTAGATTTATCCATAAATTTTACCAGAAGGTGCTGTTCTCCCTTCTTGCATTACTGCATTTCCATCTGGAAGTATTTATCTTCTGCCTGAAAAAAATCCTTTTAGTGTTTCTTTTAATGCAGATATGCTAATGATAAATTCTCTCAGTTTTTGTTTGTCTAAAAATGTCTTTATTATGTCTTCACATGTGAAGGATATTTACACTGAGCATAGAGTTTTAGGTTAGCAATTACTTTTTTGCAGTACTTTAAACATTTCCTTTGAATATATTATGGTTTCCATTTTTTCTATTGCTTAGTTGTCAGTTTTATTTTTGTTCTTTAAAAAAAAATGTGTCCCCTCCCCTCCCTGGTTACTTTTAAGATTTTTCTCTTTGGCTTTAGTTTTTAGCAGTTTTTCTGTGATTATCTAAATGTGGTCTTCCTTGTATTAATCTTGCTTGGGGTTTGTATAAGTTCTTTATTATGTGGCTTGATGTCTTTCATCATTTTTTGAAAATTCTCAGCCAGTATTTCTTTGAAAATTGCTTCTATCTCATTATCTCTCTCCTCTCCAGGTGGGACTCCAATGATAAATATGCTGGATGTATTTACCATGTCCCTAAACCTCTTACGCTCTCCCCCGGCCCCTCATTTTTCATTATTTTTCCTCTATGCTTTATTATCCTCTCTTTGGCTCTATCTAATCTGCTTTTGAACCCATCTGTTAATTCTTAATTTCAATAATTTTATTGTTTTAGTTCTAGGATTTCCATTTGACTCTTCCCTTAACAGATTCCAGTTCTTTGGAATTCTCTATCTTTTCCTTTATTTTCTTGAACATATTAATCATAGTTTCTTTAAAGTCACTATCTGATACTCTAATTAATACACATCACTGTTTTTTTCTATTATTTGTTTTTTCCCCTCTGGATTTTGAGTCAGTTGATCCTATTTCTTGGCATGCTTGGTAATTATGTTTCTAAGATTCATCCATGTTGTTGCAAGTAGCTGTAATTCATGTATTTTTACTAATTTATAATACTGTAGTGTGAACTGACCATAGTTTATTTCTCCCATTGTCTTGTTGATGGTCATGTGCTTAGTAGAGTAATTAAAAATCACTCATTCTAAGCTTCTTGAAACCATTTAAAATAATTAATTCTGCAGTTACTTTGAACCTAGAGAGCAAGCCAGTACAATGTGTTTGGACCACACTGGCAATGGACTATTTCAATGATGTAAGTACTAGAAGTGCTGTGAATATGATTTTTCTATTATGCCCTTACTCTGTATCCCCAAAGAAGTCCATTAACATTTCAGAGCTGTTTGTTTGCAGTTGCTTTGGCCATGTGGGTGGGTAGTTGCCTTCACAATGGGGATACAAAAATCAGGAGCTGGACTGGATCAGTTCATTCTCTGTGGAGTGAAATGGAGGGAGCATGATAAGACCAGATTCATTTAGTCCTTCTCTTGAAGAAGCCATGAATGGAATTGGAATAAAAACTCAGGAAGCTTGTGCCTGTTCATGCTTCCAGTCTCATGGGAAACCCGTTCCAGCTCCAAAATGTATGTTTGTCATCTGAAATCCTTGAGATAATTATTCAGAGTGTCTGGATGCCCCTGAGTGTTTTGTTGGAGCATGGGCATGTATAGCAGAAGCAGTGTGAGGAAGTGGAAAGAATGCAAACTGCATTCACACTGACTTAGGTTTGAATCCTGACTTTGACACCTACTAGATTTTTACCAAAAAATCTATTTAACCTCTTCATCTTCAATTTTCTCATCTGTAAGGTAGACATGCTAGTGCCTTCCTAGCTGGATTCTAGTGAGGATTACATGCCAAATTGTATGAAAAATGCCTGGTATAAGGCCTGGCAATATCAGATGTTCAATAAAAGATAGCTTTGTGTCATTGGCATCACTGTCATCATCATTATTATCAATCACAACCACCATAATGAGGAAAGCTTTGGAAATGAGCATGACTCTGGGCCTCACAGGAAGTCCTAAAATCTTTGCTCTTATGCTCTTCAATGTGGCAAGTTTGTGCCCCTATATAAGTTCCTAAGTTATTGTTGTTTTCGAGGCATTGGCCATTACATAGGAACTTTTCCTTGAAGAGGGAAGGAGAAAGGTTCTAAATAATTAGGGATGGGGTAGTCAGATTTAGGGCAAGGCCTACTACAATGATTAGTCAAATGTCTGTGGACTGACAATCAATTTGAAGAGGAAGACAGGTAACATAGCAGTTTGCACCAGGGAAATCCACACATAGCAAAAGATTTTCATCAG